AGGTAGGGGGAGATGGGATCTCTTGTTTAATGGTATAGAGTTTCACTTTTGCAAGTTCTAGAAAAGAAAATGTTCTGGAGAACTGGTTGTACAAGTGTGAATATACTTAACACTACCGTAGTACACTTCAAAATAGCTGATAGCAAATTTTATGTTGTACATTTTTAAAAAAAGAATTATTTACTTATTTAATCCCATTTGTTGTTATTATTTTAAAATTTGACCAGAGAAAGACAGAGAAAAAGAGAAAGGGAAAGGAAGAAAGCAAGTCGCCAGATCTGGGACTCAAACCGCAGTCAGCCATGTGGGAATCCAGAGCCTTTAACCCCCGTGCCACCTGCCGGTCCCATGTTGTGCACTTTTTACCACAGTAAAGTTCCAAGGGCCCATGAAAGTCAGAATGGGCCCTAAGACTTGGGGGAGAGATAGAGTGTGAGCAAGGGGAGAAGGCATAAAGCCCGCACAGTGGGGGATAACCCCAGGGGTGATCTCCCTTCCTCTACACTCCATCCTGCCTCTCCCATTTGGAGATCCACTGAGGCATCCTCAAGCTGGGCTGGGAGCCAGGACACCTGGGTTTGACTCATCCTGGACCTTAGTCTGCCAGAGCAGAAGAGACAGTATCTGCCCGCCTAGCCCAGTCTGGCCCTGCCTGTACCCCAGGGGCCAGCAAGGGTGTGGGAGGACCCTTCAGCAACACAGGGAGAGGCCCAGGAACTGGAAAGGCCTCACCCTGCCAGGGGTCTCCATGTTCCACCAAGCCTTCCTGGCTGAGGCTCAATGCTTATGGGTGTCATCGCCCCAGGTGCTGCCCACGCAAACCTCTGCACAGGTCCTCGGTGCGATCACTGTGTTCCTGGAAAGCTGTCAATGGAGTCCCACTTTCCCATAGTCTGCATGGTCATCTCGAAGCTGAAAGGGGACTTAATGTGAACATTTCCTGGATTCTGTGCTCTCTGTCATCAAAGGCAGTTATACGTAGAGAGTGCTCAGTTTTTGGGCGGCAATAATGGAGTCTGGAAAGCATCTAAGGGAGCAGCTAGTCTTGCCCATTTGGAGGGAGGTGTCCCATCAAGGAACCCCCAGTGAGACTGGGAGACAGGGCAGTCACACCACTGGGGCTCCCTGGGCCTCCGGGCCTGCCTCCTTTCTCAGGCTGAGCAGGAGAGTAGAGAGTGTAGCTTGCCCTGAGGGAGCTGAGATGGGCTCCCTGCCCACTCAAGCCCCCTGTTCCAGACCCATAGCTCTTGACCAGATCAGATAGGGCACGTTCCTGCAGTGAGCTGCCTGCTGGTTGGGACCATGCTGACGCAGGCAGGAAAACATTAACTCAGCAGAACGGTGCACGCTCACGTGTATGTATGTGTGTATCCACAGAGGGACTTTCACATGCAAAACCACACACAGATATCCGCATGTGCACACACACACATGCACACACACACCCTACACATTCACACAGACATGCTTACATAAATGATGGCACTTCAAAAAGTTCGAGGAAAAATGGAATAAAAGTATGAGTTTATTTTGGTTCCAAAAATTTTGAAATCCACACATAATTTTTCATAATATGCACTTTCTTTCTTTCTTTCTTTCTTTCTTTTTTGAGAGGTTTTCGCTATAGGGTGCGTATGCTTGCCAGACAGACAGAGAGAGACAGACAGAGAGACAGAAAGCGAGAAATCACCCCCCAGGGGGGATGGTCACGCTGCAATCCCTTCTCCTCCACTCTCCTCTCGGGATCTTGGGCACGCACACACACGCACTCGGCATGAGTTTTACGTCACCGGGTCTGGGACGTGAACCGCGGTCGACTATGTGGGAGTCCAGCGACATAGCCATTATGCTAACTGCTGGTTCCCGCGCCTGGCGTGAGTTTTAAGCCACCGGATCCGGGACGCGAACCGCGGTCGACTACATGGGAGTCCAGCGACATAGCCATTACGCTAACTGCTGGTCCCGCACTTTCTTTTTTAAAATAATTATTTTATTTAGCTGTATTTATTATTGTTGTTATTATTATTTTCCAGTTTGATCAGAGAGAGAGAAAGAGAGAGAGTTAGAAAGCAAGCCTCCAGGTCCAGGACTCGGGCCGAGGTTAGCCATGTGGGAGTTCAGCGCCTTTAACTACCAGGCCACCTGCTGGCCCCCCATAATATGCATTTCCTATGAACCTTTTGGAGATCTCATGTGCAGACACAAATGCTTCTCACATGCAAATTCCTTTTGTGTTATGTCCCCAGATGATTCTGCCAATGAGATTTCCTCCTCCAGAAAGCCTTTCCTGAGAGCCCCAGCTCATACTAGGAAGTCATGGGTCTGAGCTTGATTCCTGGTTACTCATGCCAGTTAGGCAGCTTGACATGGGCCTGGGTTTGAGTTCTGGTTCCTGACTTAAAGCGTCTTTGCCCTCAGGCAGGTGGCTGTGCTTGGTCTTGTCTGCCTGAGTCTCTGTTTGTTCTGACCCGAAGGTCCTGGTATGACTCGGAGAAAGATGAGAGCCTGGGTTGGAGGTGAGGGAGAGTTCTGGTAATTGGTGGGTGTCAGGTTAAAGACCATCCAGGACCTTGCCTGTGCCCCTTAGACCTCCCCAGCCAGCCCTTTAGCCCTCAGTTCTCAATGCGGGGAGAGGGGAGAGGAGCTCTGGTCTGAGGTTCTAATTCTGGGTGGTTTGGGGCAAGTTATTACTTTGTTCTGAATCTCAGTTTCCGTAACTGAAAAAATGAGTTTGGAAGGGGGCACTTCCTGGATTTGGCCTAGGGTCTTTCCTTTTATGAGCACCATCCCTATTGGCCCTAAAGGCCCCCGTAGCCCTGTCCAGATGAACATCTCCAAAAATCTGACCCTAATGGCCCTCATGGTGCCATTAGCTGTCCCTCTTCTCTCCACAGTTGAGCAGTCCACCTTCTTGCCCTTCACGTTTTAGGGCAGCGGCCACCCTCCATCTCCACCGGCTCATTAAGGCAGCTCTCTGGAAACATGTGCCTGACTGGCTCTCCAAGTCTGAGGCCACAGCTGCCTCCTGGCTCCTGTGGACCTCTGGGCAGCCCAGTGTCTGGGTTCCCATCTCTCTACCACACCACTCCTCCTCAGTCATCCTCTGCTCCCAAGAACCCTGCCCTAGCCCTTGCCCCACCCCTGGGCTTCCTGGGCAAATCTGTCAACTCTCAACTCTCAGGGTTAACGCCAGGGGCTGATCTGTCGTATTTTCTTTCTCCAACTGGACCCCTCTCCTGAGCCCAGCCCCAGTTGCTCCCCTGCCAGTTGGATACCCTGGGGCCTCAGAGTGGCTACTTGGCTCTTTTCTGCTTAGAACCCTTTGAAGGCTCCTCAGGCCCTCAGGATAAAGCTGAACCCCTTGGTGAGGCAGACAAAGCCCTTTACAGTCTACCTTGTCCTCTGAAAGCCCACTCGAAGCTCCCAGAAGAGTTGGGTTTTTGCATAAGCCAGGCAGGTTTCAATAGCATCAGCTCATCTTGGAGAACTTAGTTACTATGTCACCTCTCCTGTCCCCCTACAGTGCTGCCTGCATTCCCTCCCCCTTTGCTTGGTATACCCAAGTTACTGGCTGTTGACCTCCCTCTCCCAGGAGACAGATGGGACTGTGTATTCTCTACCCCTCTATCCCCAGCATCCCACCCAGTAAATGAACCCAGGGCCTGATCACTGACTCCAACAAGGACTCTAGTCCCCTCCCTGGCCACCCTGACACCAGCCCTGTCCAATTCTGCTCCAGCTCTCATCTCATCTAAGACCCCAAGACCCAAGCTCTGCTCTGGCCTTACCTACTCCCCGTCCAAGGGTCCTGAAGGAAGAGACATAGATTTTTGAACCCACCTAGAATCTGCAGCAGAGTGAAGGGCTGAGCTTCCAGCTTCTGGGGCAGCAATGGAAGAACCAGCTTGCTCCTGGGTTGCAGCCTGCCCCAGCTTCTCTCTGCAGGGTGACCGGCTGGGAGGGCAAGTTGGGATGAGGTAGGAGTGGGTGTGGGGGCTGGGGCTATGCAGGTTCCAGACCTGGCCTGGTCTTTGGCACCCTCTAGAGGACAGTTGCATTCCCGGATCTGGACTTTTCCTATGCTGGCTTCTACTTTCTAGCGGCTGCCCTGCCTCAGGATCTCCCTCCACCATGCCACGTAGCAGGGGTCCTTACAGTCTACAGACCAACGACATCTCCCCATGTATCAGTACCAGGTCCCAAACTGCCCGCCCTACCCTTCAAGGCTCAGCCTGACTCCAGGAGCCCTCTCAGACTGCAGCTGGTCTGCGGGCTGCTCCCTGACTTCACCTTGGTCAGTCACTAAGTTCCCACAGACCTGACCCCAAGCTCCACACGCTGGTTCAGCTTTGGCTCCTGTACAGAGGCCTCACTGGCTTTTCCTGAGGAAAGTGCCCAAGTCACCCTGTCCCACCTCAGACTAGGAGCTCCCAGGGGACTTGCCCTCTCCAACTGAAGTTTCCTTGCACATATGGCTTATATGTCTTGGGATCCCTGAGGACAGGACCCCAGTCTCTCCTTGCCCCTTCAGATCAGGGGGCTCCTGAAGATGGACGCAGGGTCTCCTCCACCTGGCTGTTGATCTCCAGAAATTCCCACCGCCACTTCCCATTCCTTGCAGCTCTCTCTGTAGCTGGGGGTCAGGAGGCTCTGCAGTCTTCTCCAGGTCTGGGGTCCTGTGATGGCTTCCTCAGGCTTCAGTCCCAGGGAATGGCTTCAAGGGCTGGCCTTTCCTCTGGGATTGTGAGGCCCAGAGGGCCCATGCAGAGCTCAACCTCCGACCTTACAGGGACTGCCTTAGAACTCACACAGTTAGTAGCGCCATTAGCAGGGGGAAGGATACTATTTTGGGCAAGTGCCTGGACTCGACTCAAACAGCACTGGCCAAACCTCTGCTCTACTGACCTCTTCCCTGGAAGAGTTGGAGCAGTGTGGGGAGGCGTGTTCTAGGTTGGGGACTCAGGAACGGCAGAGCCCCAGTGGGGCGTGCAGTCTGAGTAGGGACTGTCACAGAATAAAACCAAGATCTGCTTTAACTGAGAAGATCCAAGACAGACTGAGAAACATAAGGCACTTCAGCACAGTGAGTAGGACTCTGGGCAAGGCTGAGACAGTGTGGTCTTCCAGAGCCCAGGCCTGGAAGGGCCCCTCTCTGGGGACCATACAGGGAGGAAGGGACTGTGGGGTTGTCTGGGGAAGGTGCCCCAGTCTGACTTTCTATTCTGGTTCAGTCCTGTGTTGCTGTAAGACATGGGAACAGCACAGCCTCTCTCTGGGTTTCAGCTTCTTATGCTATAAGTTGGCTGTTGGGAGGACCAGCCATGGAGCAGAGATAGGAGGATGCACTGGGCTGGGCTACCAGCAGAGCATAGGGCTGAGAGGAGGACTGGGGCCGGAGTCCAGCTGCACTGGGCCAGAACAGAAGGGATGCAAGTCGGAGATGGGCCACCTGCTGGTTGGTTGCCTCCAAAGGACTGGGTTTGGGGGTAGGGTTGAGGGTTTCTGCAGTCAGAGTTGAGGAAGTGAAATTGTGCTGCAGTTAGAGAGAACTGGGCTAGAGAATAAGGAGGACACACAAGATGAGGACGCTCAAGGGGTACCTTCATGCTATCAGTTTGAGAAAAACATGGGAGTACAAGGGGGAAGTTTTAGGAAAGATGGGAGGATAGACCTTGTTCTGAGGTAAGGTCATGAACTAATGAGTTTTTAGGGCCTCATTCTGTGTGCGTGTGTGCACACATGTGGCCATACATGCGTGTGTGTTTACACATGGAAGAGGCCCTGATAGGTCTCACAGTTTAAATCAGCAGCGCGAGGGTTGAGGTTAGGCTAAAGGCATAGACTCAAACAAGAGAGGCTGGAACCACTGAGGGGAAGCCAAAGCTGGTGGCAGACTTGGTAGGTCAGAAGGACCTCTGAAGGGGTCTGATCCAGGTGACCAGAGACCTGAGGCCAGCACGGGTAGAGGAGGTGTGACTCCAGGGCCTTTCCCCATTGGTTGAGGCACACTCTCCCCCCTCCCTCCCTGGCCACATGGCTGGGTTAAGAGGGTGGCACTAGGAAGAGCTACCCCATGGCTTCTCCCCTGGGAGGCTGAAGTCTAATGGGAATGTGGGGCCAAGTTCTATGTCCCTAGCCCTAATGACCTTCTTGGCTCCACAGCACCCAAAAATCTGGAAGACAAACTATGGCTCGGGCAGACAGGCAGAAGTGGTAAGCACCCTGCTTTACTTCCCAACCCTTGCCTCCTGTCCTCCACTCAGAGCAACTCGGTGCCTCCCCCTTTTCTAAGCCTCTGCTTGTGGTACTGCTCACCCCAGACCCCCTCCTTCCAGCACGGCTAGCCTACAGACCCCAGAAGAAAGGCCTCTGTCATCTATCTCTCAACCTCCACAGCACAGCCCGGCACAGGCTGGGCCCTGGGGTGAGGAGAGGCTCGAAAGGGCCTGGGAGAGGGTCAAGGGGCTGGCCAGTGGGTTCTGATTGCCCCCATGTAGGTGGCACTCAGTAACAGAACTCACTACCTCTCCCACCTCAGGCTCAGTGCTCGGTGGGTTGAAACAAGAGCCAAAGTCTTTTCAATGGCCAAGGAGCTGCCTATCTAGTCCCCTTTACCTCTAGGAGCCCCTCAAGCCCCTACTCCAGCTACACTGAGATCCTCTGCTTTCTTCAGTGAGGCTCAGAGACTACGCCTCTGCCTATAATGCCCTTCCCACAGCCGTCTACACAGCTCACTCTCTCACCTCCTTCACATCGCTGGACCTACTGAGAAGGTGTCTCAGTGAGGCTTACCCTGCCTGCCTGTTTGGAGTCTTACCCCACCTCTACCTTTGCACTCTCAACACCCTTTCCCTACTACCACCTAACATGAAAATAGGCTTGTTTATTACATCTCTTTACCGTCAGCACCATGAGAGCAGTCTGTTTGCACATTTTTAGATGAAGAGAATGAATAGTTTGGTAATGATGACATCGCTGTCCCCAGCTTACCTGTCTCTGTCTTTTGGGCCCTAGGCTGTTTCCAAAGACTCATTGGTGTCCCATAAGCAACTCTGATCCCAGCTGAAAACAGCCTCCTGCACTCCCTATGGTCTGGGCTCAGTCAGGGTCCCCTTCTTTTATTTATTTATTTTTGGAGAGGTTTTTGCTATAGGGTGCGCTCGCCAGAGAGACAGAAAGCGAAAAATCACCCCCCAGGGGGGATGGCCATGCCGCAATCCCTTCTCCTCCATTTTCCTCTCAGGATCTTGGGCACACACACACACACATGCCCGGCATGACTTTAAGCCACGAGGTCCAAGATGCGAACCATGGCCAACTACATGGGAGTTCAGCATCATAGCCATTACGCTAATGCTGGTCCCAGGGGACCCCTGCTCAGTTGCTCAAGGCAGAAGTCAAGGCCATGATGTCCTTAACACTTCTCTCTCAGGCCAGGAGGTGGCATGATGATTAACCACAAGGCTGACCATGGTTTGAGTCCTGGAACTGTCAGTTTGAAAAACATGCTGGGTGCCTATGCATGCATGCCTAAAATCTCAAGAAAATAATAAAGTAGAAGGGATTGTGGTGTGGCCATCCCCTCTGGGGTGTGATTTCTCGACTACCCTCCTCTCTGTCTCTCTCGGGTAAGGGTACATGCCCTATGGCAAAAACCTATTAAAAAAAAATCAGATCCCTTCTCCCCTGTTCCTCATATCTAGTCACAATGCCCTAGACTGTCTAGAACTGTGCACCTCTCACCATTCTTTCCACTACTATTCCCTCGCTGCCAGCTTAGGCCACCACCTGCCTATTCTTCAAAACTCTTCAGGACTCACCCTCCATTCCTCCTCTGAGTTCTCGCAAGCCCAGGCTTCTCCCCTCTGGTGGTGGTGCCACTCTACAGAGCAACCCAAGGGTAGAGACTGGATTTCGATTTTGTATCTCTGGGGCCTGAGTCATAAGAAGATGCTCAACAAATGTTTGTTGAATGGATAAGTGTTAACTAGCAAGTTTAATGGTTGGTTTGGGGTTAGTTGGATAATTTTTAGTTGACTTGCTGGTCAGATAATTAAATCAGTTAATAACTGCTAATTGTTGGTTAAATTGCTTGATTGATTAGTTAGCCAAAAGGTTGGTGAGGTGTTAGCTATCTAGTTCCTTGGTTAACTTACTTATGTAACCTGATTAGTTTTTAGTTTCTTGGTTTTTAAGCTAACTTTCTGGGATGCCCCTTCTCATTCTATATCCTCCCTTTGAGCTATCTCATCTATACTGAGGGCTCAAAAAGACCATCTGTGATCTGGTGACCTCCTCATTTCTTTTTTTTTTTTTCTCAAGAGGTTTTTGCATTCGCTGGAGAGAAAGAGAGACAGAAAGTGAGAAATCATCACCAGGGGGGATGGCCATGCCACAATCCCTTCTCCTCCATTCTCTTCTCAAAATTTTGGGCACATAGGAACATGTGCCCTGTGTGAGTTTCAAGCCTCTGGGTCTTGAACTGTGGTCAACTATGTGGGAGTCCAGTAACATAACCATTATACCATCTGCTGGTCCCCTGATGCGTATACCTAAGCAAGACCTAGGACTGCTGCTACTTTACTGGTAATCTGCACTGAAGTGTCTAGCACGCTTCTTGAACTCCACAGTCCAGAAGGAGCCTCCTCATGCTCTTGCCTAAACCTGCAGCTTCTCTCCCTGTGTCCACATCAGTTATTGCTCTGCTCTAGCCAGAATCTGAGCTCATGACTGACCCTCCTCTCTCTGCTCATCTCTCTAATCAAACACTGGAGCCGTCAGTTTGATTGTGCTCTTCCAGCTATCTTCACTGCCACCTTCTTGGCTCAGGTTACCGCCTCTCAGCCTGTCAGTAGAGAGGCCTCCTCATATTTGCCAGGCCTCCACTCCCGCTTCCCACATCCTGGCCTCCACAGGGGAGACAGCACTCCCACTTAAATCCCCCATCTGGCCCCACAGCCCTCTGGTCAAGTTCAGATTCTCTAATGTGGGGCGCAGGCCTTCTGTCACCTAACCCTCACCCCTCTCTGCTATCTTGTGCCACTTTCACACCTCTCTCTGGCCAGCCCATCTGTGCAGAATTCCTCTGCATTCCACCACATCCCATCATAGCTGCAGGCCTTTGCACAGGCCATTCCTGGGTTTGGACTTTCCCCTCCTCCCCAACTGCCCCTTTTCCTGGCCAGCCTCCTTCCTTTGTGAGAGTCTCCGGCTCCTCCTCTAGGCCCTTTCCTGTGGCAAGGCTCATCATACTTCTGCTTAAGTAATTGCTTTTCTCCCTAAGGCTAGGATCATGCCAGTGAGCCTGAACATAGTGGGCAGTCAGCAAATCTAGTTCGTTGGCTGGTTGGAGGTTATTTGTGGCTGTGTCTTGCCCGCTGTGTGGTGAGAGGGAAGAATCCAGGTTTCCACATTCTCTTGGTGTTCTTGGCTTCCTGCACTGTCCACCTCTCTCTGCCTCTGTGGCACCTCCTTAGGACTGTTCTTGGGTCCTTGTCTGCACTGGGCTATTCACAGGCTCTTCTTCAGGGCTGAGGAGGCTGCTTCTAGGGGCAAGGGGACCCCATCTGTGATGCTGGGAGTGAGAGTTGAATAGCAGCCAGTGGATTATTGAGGCAACTCTACATCTCCATCCCCAAATATATAATCCTGAGTTTTTTCCCAGTGGTAAGGAACAGAACAAGGACAGGAATGGGTGAGTTAGGAACATAGGGTCTTAGTTAGAAAAGTGGAAGATGCTCTTTTTTTTGAGGGGGGGGGAGGTTTTTGCTATAGGGTGCATACACTCTCCAGAAAGACAGAGACAGAGAGACAGAAAGCAAGAAATCACCCCCCAGGGGGAAGGGCCACACCACAATCCCTTCTCCTCCATTCTCCTCTCGGGATCTTGGGCATGCATGCACGAGCTCCCAGTGTGGGTTTAAGTCACCGGGTCTGAGACTTGAACCATGGCCAACTACATGGAAATCCAGCGACATAGCCATTACACTAACTGCTGGTCCCAAAAAGTGGAAGATGTTCTAATCCATGGGTCAATCTCTCTCACTCCCTTTGCTTACTTTCGGCTGCTGTGAGGCCAGGGGTTTAGGGAAGCCTGAGGAGTGATGCTGCTCTGTCAGGATAGGGTAGCTGAGGGGCTGGTGTCAGGTTGTGGGGGTGGAGTGGCAAAGAGGAGGTTACCAGTCTGAACAAACATTCAGGCCACACTTAGAGGTATCTGTACCCCTCTTCTTTCTCTTTATCCTCCAGACTCCTTTTCCTTCTCCAAACTTCAGTCCTACACCTCCCCAAACACAGATGTTAGGACCTGTAACTCACTTTTCCATCTCTCTATCTATCCATCCGTGCATTTACTAAACATATTTATCAAATGCCAGGTTCTGTAGGAAGCTCTAAAGATCTGAGGGGAAACCAGGCAGATTTCCTAGTTATGATTTATTGAACAACTATTTCACACCTCCTATGTGCCAAGCACTGTGCTAGCCACTAGTCTATACCAGGAAGAAAGATCTAGTCTCTCCTTTTCTCCCTCCCTCTTTCTTGTTCATTCATCCACTCCCTCACTCCCTCACTCATAAACATTTGTTCATGTTGACCTGATTGCAGGGCCTGGTACATTTTGCTGACTCCTTCATCTTTGGTAGATCCTGGTGCATGTTTTGGACATTGGTGCTATTTGTAGAGTCCAGCAGCAAACTTTGTCACACCCCATTCTGGTTGCAGAGTACCTCACTGTTGCCAGACCCTGGCCTGTGACCTGAAGCCTTGGATCCAGACAGACAGACAACTGAGCTCTATTTTTTAGGCTGCTCTCTCCCACCCTGCTCCTCCCCAGAGGCTCCTCACATCACAGGTGGCACTTCTAGTTCTCCAACTTCCCTGTTTGCCAAGGTCTTACTGTCATGCCCCTCTCACTGGTCCAATCCTGACTAGAAGGAAGGGAGATGACCTGGCCTCTCTATGTCCCTCTGGTTGTCTGGTGTCTGCAATCTCAGTTGTCATAGTGCCCTGGGCAAGAGAAGGTATGTGTGGAGAGGCTGCTGGGTTACCCATTAACTTGGCCATGAGTTGAAGGGCAGATGAGCAATAAGCAGACTTGAGTATCCTTTCTACCCATGGCCTCTGGCTGCTGCTTCAGGTCCACCTCCTGCTCCAGGATGGTCTCCTGGTCCGGGATAAGGAGGATACATGCCATGCTGCGGCAGAAGATGGTACGAGAGTTCCTGGCTGAGTTCATGGGCACATATATCATGATGGTGAGTGGGTGGGTGGCCTGGGGTGGGTGGAGTTCCACAAGGGGAGTCCATGACCCCTCCCTACCACTGACCCCATGGATCACATCATCCAGTCCCCTGCCTCTGAGCTGGGAGTTTGGGGAAGAAGCAGAGGGAAGTAAGGGGAGGGGCCTTTCTCACCGAGTCTTGGGGCAGAAAGGGCTCATAATATGTAGGGGTAGAATGAAGCCATTGGCCAGGGACCCAGAGGGCATGGCTGGAGCAGGAGAAAAGAAAACAAGAGTAGAGAGATAGAAGAAAACCTTCAATGTGAGGCTTTGAGTAATAATCCTGAGGGCAATGGGGAGACATGGAAGGTTATCAAGAAGGGGAGTGGTATGATTGGAATCAGATTTAGTGTGGAGCCTAAGCAGGATAAGTAAGGCTAGAGGAAGGGGAGCCTCTTAAATGTTGTTGTAGTGACCCAGGAGAAAAGAGAGAGTGGGGACAGGTCTGGGGATAGAGAAGAAAGCACGTTTGAGAAGTTGTTGAATATGGAATCAAGGAGACTTTAAAAGCAATAGATATGGGGTAGGTGCTGATGGGCCATTCTCCCAGCACAGCACAAGAGGTAAGGTTGCTTTGGTCGTGATTGGATGAGACGCCAGTGGAGAAATCCAGAAGACAGTTAAACCTGGGATCTGGAACTCAAGAAGAGGCTTGAGATGAAAGAGAAGAGTTGATGTTTTTCAGAGTTTGGATGGTCAGTTATAAAAATCGTCCAGAGAGAAAAAAATATACTGAGGACAGCCCTGAGAAATAAAAAGGAACACACAAAGGACCCTGGAAAGGAGTGGAGCGGGAGGTGGGGAGGAGAACCTGATAGGGCCATGATACAGAAGGGGTGCAGCTATTCCACAGGTGGGCATAGGTAGCAGTGTGGCCAGACAAGGTGGGTGCTGGCAAGGGTTTGGCAACACAGAGGTCATGGCGACCTGGACAAGGGCTCTGCTTCAGTGTGTGATTAGGGACAGAAACCAGATTGCAGGTGAGATGGAGGTTTCTCTTTTGCCCTGCTTCAGCCCTGCCACTTACCCCAGAGAGCCTCTGCTCCTAACAGAACCTGTACTCATGCTTGTTCATCTTATGGAGGGGCCAGGTCCAAGAAAAGAGGGGGCAGCCTCTGTAAAGGGAAGTACAGGTGGTTGGAGCACACCATATGGAATGGAGGTGAGAACAGCTGTGTGTGTGTGTGTGTGTGTGTGTGCATGCACGCAGTTGTACATATTATCATAACTGTGGCTGTGTGTAGGTGCATGTGTGGTTGTACAAATGAGTGTAACTGTGGTCGTGCATGTGTGTGTATGTGATAGCCCTGTGTGTGTTTAAGAGCACTGGGTCACAATGTAGGAGATGGTAGGTGGGACCCACAGAGTCCAAGGGTGGAGGGACTCTGGATACCTGAGTTCTAATCCTGACCCTGCCACTCAGTCACCAGCAGGTCCTGAGCAAGTGTCTCCCTAACTCAGAGCCTTTCTTCTAAGTTATTACCTGTGTGGAATTAGATCTTCCTGGGCTTTGGAATTGGGTTTGGATTTTAGTTATAGTATCTTCTAGTTGTGTGATGACCTTCCACAAGTATCTTTCAAAAAAAATTATTATTATTTAATTTGAACTGATAGAGAGGGAGACAGACAGGGAAAGTGAGAAAGGAAAGTGCCAGGTCTAGGACTCGAACCACAGTCGGCCATGTGAGAATCCAGTGCCCTTAACCACCATGCCATCTGCCAGCCCCATAATCTTTTTTTTTTTTTTTTTAAAGATTTATTTAATTTGGGGCCGGCAGGTGGCGTGGTGGTTAAAGGTGCTGAACTCTCATATGGCTAAACCACGAGCCCCAGACCTGGCAACTTGCTTTCTCATATTCCTTCTCTCTTCTCTAAAATTAAAAATAAATAAATAAATAAAGTAATTATTTTTTTTAAAACAAAGGATTTATTTAATTAAATTTATCATCATTATCAGTATTTCTTTTTTTTTTTTTGAAAGGTTTTTGCTATAGGGCACATGCACTCGCCAATAAGAGACCGAGAGACAGAAAGTGAGAGATCACCTCTCGGGGGGATGGCCACACTGCAACCCCTTTTCCTCCATTCTCCTCTTGGGATCTTGGGCACGCACGCACACGTGCCCACCATGAGTTTAAGCCACCGGGTCCAGCACTCGAACCACGGTCGACTACATGGGAGTCCAGCGACACAGCTATTACGCTAACTGCTGGTCCCCATCATTATTTCTTAATTTGCTATAAGGCACGTGTATTCACTAGAGAGAGAAAGACAGAGAAAAAGTGAAAAAGCAAGCTGCCAGGTCCAGGACTCAAACTGCAGTTGGCCATGTGGGAGTCCAGCACCTTAACCACCACGTCACCTGCTGGCCCCTTCCACAAGCATCTTACCTGTTCAGAACTCTGGTTTTCTTGTTAGTAAACATGAACATTGTGTGAAGAGGGTCAAGCACCAGCACCCAGGGCAGATGCAGTACGCACGCGTTGGTCTGTGTAAGGAAAAGTGCGGCCAGCTACTCACTCCTCCCTGCTCCTACCCCTCCCCCCCTTCCTTTGCTTGTCTTCCTGGTTCAGCTCCTGGGCTGTGAGGATAGAAACTGTCCCTGTCCCTCCTTAATCCTGGGCAAAGTCATTCATTTATGACAAGACATTCCAGCCCCATGAGGGCTGTTAAACCTTGGAACCCAAGAGGTAGGCGAGTGCTTCCTTGAGAGCTGTTAGGGAAAGCAGGCACCGCCTACATGCATTTATACTTGTCACCGGTTTTTCTCCTTGTTTTGAGATGACCATGGATTACCTCCAGCATACCACCAGGTAGGGGGATGCTAAGCCCCTTAAATGCAGCATCTTCCCCAATCCTCACAATTGCCCTGGGAGGTAGATACTACTATTATTCCCACCTCATAGATGAGAAAACTGATGCTTCATGAGACCAAGTCATTTACCCAAGGTCACAGTCTAAGTTAAGACTAAGTTGGGGAGGGGGGCTGGCAGGTGGTGTGGTGATTAAGGCACTGGACTCCCACTTGGCTGACCACAGTTCGAGCCCCAGAACTGTTAGCTTGCTTTCTAGTTTTCCTTTCCTCTCTCTCTCTCTGGTCAAATTCAAAAATAAATAATATTAACAAATAAAATTAAATAAATAAATGATTCTTTAACAACAACAACAACAACAAAAGATTAAATACAGGAGCCGGCAGGTGGCATAGTGGTTAAGGCAAACCGTAGCTTGAGGTCCAGACCTGGCAGCTTGCTTTCTCATTTTCCTTTTCTCTCTCTATTTGGTCAAATTAAAAAATAATAATAATAATAAGGGACCAGCAGACGGCACAATGGTTACGTTGCTGGACTCCCATGTAGTGTACCACAGTTTGAGTCCCAGACCTGGCCGCTTAAAAGACTCACAACAGGTGCATGTGTGTGCGAGCCCAAGATCCCAAGAGGAGAATGGAGAAGGAACTGTGGCATGGCCATCACCCCTGGGGGGTGATTTCTCACTTTCCCTCTCCCTGTTTCTCTCTGGTGAGCACATGTGTCCTATGTCAAAAACCTAAAAACAATAAAAAAAAACACCCTTTCTGGGCCTCAGTTTCCTATCTACAGAGTGGGGAAACCTGCTATGCAGATCTGCTATGAGGGTTGAAAGGAAATAACACTTGTAAAATAATTCTGTGAGATAATTTAAGCTCATACGGGACATTGTGTTGTTATTTTTAGTTGCTGAGCCCATGCAAGGGGGGGAGCTTCTTCAGTTGATTAGCTCAGTGAATCACCAGGGTAAAGGTTTTGCCAAAAATGCTAGTGTGACCTTAGGCCGATTTATTTGGACTAGGATGAGGGAAGTGGACTAGTCCACTTTGCAGCCTTCAAGGGTGTTATCTATCTTCTGAGCGTCCTGGCTTGTTAGAGGAGTTTTGATGGGCTGGGACATATTCACTGGCCAGGGAGGGGAAGAGCTGAATCATCAGGGCTCTGGGAACCAGCTTTAACAGGAGCCATAGGGCAAAGGTTGTGAACTCACGTGCTTCAGGGCGCAAGAGAGAGTCAAGTCATGGTGGGAGGGACTGTGGCTCACTGCAGAGTGCCCATCTGGGCAAGGGCATAGCTGCCACACTCCAGCCAGCTGTTTGCCACGGTGAGTGGAATGCAAGTCAGCCTTGACTGAGCTTTGGATTCTTCAAGAGTAGCTGAAATTTCTTGGCTCAGCCAGGTGGTGTGGTGGTAAAGGCAGCTGGATCCCACATGGCCAACTGCACAGTTCGAGTTCCAGACCCAGCAGCTCGAAAAACACACTGGGTGTGTATGTGTGTGCATGGCCAAAATTCTGAGAGGAGAGTGGAAGAGAAGGGACTGTGGTGTGGTTATGTCCTTAGGGGGTGATTTCTCTCTCTCTCTCTCTCCCTCTGTCTGTCTGTCTCTGGTGAGAAAAAGTACCCTATAACAAAATAAATAAATAAAGAGAAGCTGAAACTTCTGGTCTGTAAAGCCAAGCTATCCAAATAAAATTACAACCTGTGTGGAGGACGTTGGTGTCTCTGACAGGTGGAAGCAGAAGTCAGATTGAGGAAAGGACAAAGGAGTTGCCAAAAATGCTAGTGTGACCTTAGGCCGATTTATTTGGACTAGGATGAGGGAAGTGGACTAGTCCACTTTGCAGCCTTCAAGGGTGTTATCTATCTTCTGAGCGTCCTGGCTTGTTAGAGGAGTTTTGATGGGCTGGGACATATTCACTGGCCAGGGAGGGGAAGAGCTGAATCATCAGGGCTCTGGGAACCAGCTTTAACAGGAGCCATAGGGCAAAGGTTGTGAACTCACGTGCTTCAGGGCGCAAGAGAGAGTCAAGTCATGGTGGGAGGGACTGTGGCTCACTGCAGAGTGCCCATCTGGGCAAGGGCATAGCTGCCACACTCCAGCCAGCTGTTTGCCACGGTGAGTGGAATGCAAGTCAGCCTTGACTGAGCTTTGGATTCTTCAAGAGTAGCTGAAATTTCTTGGCTCAGCCAGGTGGTGTGGTGGTAAAGGCAGCTGGATCCCACATGGCCAACTGCACAGTTCGAGTTCCAGACCCAGCAGCTCGAAAAACACACTGGGTGTGTATGTGTGTGCATGGCCAAAATTCTGAGAGGAGAGTGGAAGAGAAGGGACTGTGGTGTGGTTATGTCCTTAGGGGGTGATTTCTCTCTCTCTCTCTCCCTCTGTCTGTCTGTCTCTGGTGAGAAAAAGTACCCTATAACAAAATAAATAAATAAAGAGAAGCTGAAACTTCTGGTCTGTAAAGCCAAGCTATCCAAATAAAATTACAACCTGTGTGGAGGACGTTGGTGTCTCTGACAGGTGGAAGCAGAAGTCAGATTGAGGAAAGGACAAAGGAGTCAGCCAGGGGGCTCTTTCCTGGAGCCTGACAGGAACAGGGGAGAGTGTACAGGAGCCCACGGCTAGGGAGGGAGGCTGGGCTGAGGTAAGAAGCTTTGGAAGGAAGGAAGAGACTGAGCCTACCAGTCAAGGAGGAGGGTTGAAGGTGCAGGCATGAGGGAGACCTCAATGCATAGAGGATAGGACAGAGGCCCTGGTGACTGGCATCCTTATTGTCACCATTGGGGTGTCCCTTAGCATGAACACTCATTTCCAGGAGCACAGTAGGGTTTAGCTGGGACACAGAGAGAGAACAGGCACTGAACCAGAGCTGACAGATAAGGTAGACTGAGAGCGATCTGTGGTCTCTGTTTCCCCTGTGAAGGTGGAGGTCATCTGAGATCCAGTGGTTAGGAGTGGGTTAGTGAACATTCAGGAATGACATCCGAGGGCAATGGAAATGGAGTTGTGGGCAAGAGAGTTAGAACTCCATTGGCTTCCAGGAGTGGGGTGTGTATGTGTTGGGGGGTGTTCCTGGAAGAGTCTAGGCCTGGGGCTTGAAGATCCCTTGAAGAAACTTTCTTCAGGCTTGCAGGCTGAAGAAAGTGGGAGAGGCTCCGGGGTGCAATCCATACCACTCCTCCTTGTAGCCCTGCCTCCCCTTGAATTTCAGGGCACTTGGGGTCGAGGTACCCAGATATGTGTTATGAGAGGCTTGACCCTGCCACTCACTGGTCTTGACGGGCTGGAGAGGATTGGTGCTGAGGAGGGAAGGCACTGGAGGAAAAGGTCTTGGCAGAGCGGCTTTAAGGGCAATGCTGGGGAGGCCCAGGGCATTGGAGAAAGGGGATGGTCCTGGGCTCTGAGTCCTCCTCTGAAAGTAGGGCTTCTGGGCTGCCAGCCCCTTAGAGGCCCTTCCTCGCAGGTGTTTGGCCTCGGTGCCACAGCCCATATGGTTCTAGGAAGTAAAAAACTCCTCGGGAGCTTCCTCAGTGTCAACTTGAGTTTTGGCTTCGGAGTCACCATAGGAGTGCACGTGGCAGGCAAAATCTCTGGTGAGTGAGCCCAGGTCTTGCCTGGTCTGGCAAAGCCAGGCTCTTTCTTGCCCACCTCCAGCCAGCCTCGTCTCTGACACAGCCAGCGCCTTCCCCTTACTGGCCACCTAGGGGGAGAACACCTCTGAACCCCTTGCCTCTGACTGTGTCTGTCCTAGACTCTTCTTGGGGCCCTGTGACCTATCATTTTTACTAGGTGGCTCATCTTAGGCAAGTTATGTATCTTCTCTGTTCCTCTTTCCTTGATGGTGAAATGGAGATGGTGGTTCCTGCCTTGTGGGGTTGTTAGGAGAGTTACATGAGAGAGCTCTTGTCAGACAACACTCTCCATAAACACTAATATCACTTATTATTGTTGCTCTCGGTATTATTTGTTATTGTTGTTTCTGCTCTTACTCCCTGACACACTGGCCCCCTTCTCACAGGGGCCCACATAAATGCAGCCGTGACCTTCACCAACTGTGCACTAGGCCGTATGTCCTGGAGGAAGTTTCCTGTGTACGTGCTGGGTCAGTTCCTCGGCTCCTTCACAGCTGCTGCCACCATCTACTGCCTCTTCTACAGTGAGTATTCGGCCCAGCTCCAGCCACAGCCTTCACCTCTGAGACATGGGCAGATGGGACCTCAGTGTTCTGGTCTCCACTCGTTTCTGGGCCCCAGTAGAGCTTAGCTGTGAGCAGGTTCACACTTACTTTGTGTCTCCACAGAGGCCATTCTTCACTTCACGGGTGGACAGCTGACAGTGACTGGTCCCACAGCTACTGCTGGCATTTTTGCCACCTACCTTCCGGACTACATGACATTGTGGTGGGGCTTCCTGAATGAGGTCAGTGATCCTGAGCAGGTGTCTTCCCCAAGCCCTCCACCCCTCAGGAGGGAGCCAGCAGGGAGACCCTCAAGATAGAGGACAAGAGCTCTGGATGGGGACTGTACTGAGACATGTTTGGATCCAGGCACTGGCGAGGCCCTGTGGCTGGGGTACTGTTGAGGCCCTGGGCTAACATGGCATCTGATCCCCAGGTGTTCGCGACGGGTGTGCTCCAGCTGTGTCTCTTTGCCATCACGGACCAAGAGAACAACCCAGCACTGCATGGGACAGAGGCCCTGGTGATTGGCGTCCTTGTTGTCACCATTGGGATGTCCCTAGGCATGAACACAGGATACGCGATCAACCCATCCCGGGACCTGCCTCCCCGTGTCTTCACTTTCATTGCCGGCTGGGGCATACAGGTGTTCAGGTACAGCCTCTACCCAGACACTATACCTGTAGTTTTCAGTGGTCCCCTGCATGTGGAGAGGGCATAGGGGATATGAGGAGCAGGACAGGGGATTCCTGCAGGGCACTCAGGTGGCCTGGGGGGCAGGAGTGGGTCCTAGTGTCCCTAGACAAGTATGATGCAGATCCTGCTCCTTGACCGAAGCAGGCTGAGGCTGTCTGGGGTCCATATGGGTGACATCTCTGGGGGGAGGATGGGGGTATCTCCTCTACTCACCCTGTCTTAGCCAGAGGTAGATGTGGGTGCTGTCCTGGGCACTGCCCCACTCAGCATGCCTCTGCTTTTTGCCTGCAGGGCCGGAGAAAACTGGTGGTGGGTGCCAGTGGTGGCGCCACTCCTCGGTGCTTACATTGGTGGTGTCATCTACCTGGTCTTCATTAGCCCCAGCGTGCCAGTAAAGCCCCAGGGATTGGAGGACCCCACAGCGTGTGAGGACCACAGGATAACTGCATTGTCCAAGACTGGCCCTCAGCCATCCCTGAGCTCTTCCCTCACCCTCGTCTCTGTGACTCCCACTAACAGATCGTCAGTCCAGCCTGTCCCACCTTTAACCGAATCCATGCACTTTTAGGTAGAGATTTTTTGTGACTCCATCCCTACTCCAATAAAGAAATCTTAACCCACAGAAGCACATCCATTTATTGGAGGCCTCCTATGGTTGGGTCTCCCTGCTGGGTTCTTCCAGGAGTTCCAGGGTTATGTCTTAGCCCAAGACTGGAACACAGAGTTGAGAGGCTTTAACTTGCTCAAGGCCTGAGAGCTGGGGTGCCCCTTGAGTGGAATGGGAATGAGCCGACCTATGGCCTCAGTAGTAACAGGGTGAGATGACAGGATTCCAGACACAGAATAGTGAACTTTCAGGTCCAGGGGAAAGAGGGTGGTTTAAGGAAAAGACCAGAGCTAGCCAGTGATCAGTCACTTTGAGGGACACTTAGAGGGTATCCTAGGACAGGACTCTAGGCCATCTTCTATATCTTTCTTTTCTCCATTCCTGGCTAGTTCTTGGACGAGACAAAGCAAGGCTCAAAAATGTAGAACAGAATTTCTCTTCTTTTTTTTCATTAGTGCCCTCTTTGGCAGCTTTTTTCTCCTCCTCCTCCTTCTCCTCTTCCTCCTCCTTTTTTTTTTGTAGAGATTTTTGCTATAGGGGCACTCTCCAGAGAGACAGAGAAAAACAGAAGAGACAGCAAGAAATCATCCACCAGATGGCCATGTTGTAATCCCTTCTCTTCTATTCTCCTTCAGGGATTTTGAGCATGCATGCACATGCACTGGGTGTGAGCTTTAATCTGCTGGGTCTGGTACTAGAACCGTGGTTGATTACCATTACGCCATCTGCTGGTCCCATTTGGCAACTTTTTAGACACTTTTCCTTCTTTTCTTTTCTTTTCTTTCTTCCTTCCTTCCTTCCTTCCTTCCTTCCTTCCTTTCTTTCTTTCTTTCTTTCTTTCTTTCTTTCTTTCTTTCTTTCTTTCTTTCTTTCTTTCTTTCTTAAGTTTTTGCTATAGTGTGCTTGCTGGACAGAGAAAACATCACCTAGGGAGCTGGCAATACCGCAATTCTTCTCTCGGGATTTTGGGCACACATACATATCTGCCTAGCCCAGTGTGTATCTCAAGTTGCCAGGTCTGAGACTCAAACTGTGCAGTTGGTCATGTATGATCCAGCTGCCTTAACCACCAGACCAACAGCTGTCCTAAGACACTTTTATTTCTTAATCATCTGATATTTTAATGCCATAGATATATTATATACCTGCTTACATACTGTATGTACATCCATGATTTATACATTACTAGAGTAAGGCTTGGGATCAGCAGATACTATAGCAGTTTTGTCGCTGGACTCCCATATGGTTAACTATGGTTCGAGTCCCAGACCTGGTGGCTTGAGACTCATGCTGGGTGTGTTTGCATGCATATCTAATATCCTGGGAGGAGAATGGAGAAGAAGAAATTGCTGTGTGACCTTCCCCCCTGGGGGTGGTGATTTCTCACTTTTCCTCTCACTGTCTCTGTCCTTCTCTCTCTTGGATGAGTGCATATACACTAAGGCAAAAATCTCAACAACAACAACAACAACAAAAAGAGTAAGGCTTTTTTCATTCTCCAGGAACTAATTTGCACTCCCTTGAGAATGCCTGATATAGGGAACCAGCAGTTAGTGTAATGGCTATGTCGCTGGACTCCCATGTAGTTGACTGTGGTTCCAGTTCTGGAGCCGGGGACTTAAAACTCACGCCAGGTGCGTGTGCGTGCGTGCCCAAGATGCCGAGAGGAGAATGGAGGAGAAGGGATTGCGGCGTGACCATCCCCCCTGGGGGATGATTTCTTGCTTTCTGTCTCTATGTCTCTCTCTGTCTGGCGAGCATACACGCCCTATAGTGAAAACCTCTCAAAAAAAAAAAAAAAAAGGAAAGAAAAAGAGAATGCCTGATATAGATTGAAAGCAGATAAGGTGCTGGGCTCCTTCTTTCTTCTTGGCACCCACATCTACCTCTGGCCAAGACAGGGTGAGTAGAGGAGATACCCCAATCCTCCCCCCAGAGATGTTTCCCATATGGGCCCCAGTCTCCTACATAAAGAAATCTCAGAGTTGGAAAGGAAGATACAAACAGGGAAATCCTTCAAAAAGTAAAGAGAGAGGCCTCATGGGGCTCAAGGGGAAAGGCCTAAAAGGTGGATGGGTGTGGGGAGCCAGGATCTGCTGGAGCCAGGTAGGACCATCCTGTTTCTAGGACTCAGAAGTCAGCATTGGTCCAGCCTGGAGGCACAGGCAGTATTGTACTGAACTGCAGTGCTGGAAGCCGCATGTCTGGCTTTGGATCCCCAGTTGACCTGAATACATGCTGGGTGCATGTGTACCCAAGATTCTGATGAGCTGGAAGGTGGTGGAAAAGGTTGTACTGTGATGAGACCCTGTCAAGGGTGCCTGTCTCTCTCTTTCCTGTATGTGTTCTTTCATGAATATAAAAAGGAGGAGGAGAAGGAAGGAAGAGGAGGAGGAAGAGGAGGGAGAAAGAGGAGGAAGATGACAACATCACCCATGGTTCCTGTTATCAATTGTGCATTTAGCTGTTCAACAATTATTGAGCACCTGCTGTGTGCAGGCTCTTCTAGGCACTGGGAATGCATGGTAATGAGGCTGGGTCTCTGCCTTTTTTGAGGAACAGCTGATTATGAGGAAGGAGCTAAGTGGTGAAGAGTAGGATGACTGGAGGCCATGGGACTCAGGGTGGAGCTCACTGCCAGCCTTATGGCTTCCCAAGGAGGAGACTGAGCAGAGTTGGGGTAGGGGTATCCTTTCTGGGGCTAAAAGCTGCACTTTATAGTTTGAGGGGAAGGGGGCACGGGAGGCTGGGCTTCCTGCTGGAGGTGGGGTACGTGGTGAGATGGGATTTAAAAAGCCCACCTGAGCTACAGTGTGCTAGAAGTGGGGGAGGTGGGCCTACAGAGGATGTGATAGGAGGAACAGCGAGGTATCTAAGGGGCAATGCCGTGGGCTGGAGAGGAGAGGTAGGATTCTACTTGGCAGGGCTTGGGTTTGGTTAGGGAAAAGGAGCAGGAGAATCAGAGATGACTTCCAGTTTCCAGAGTGAGTGTAAGGGACTAGGATGTCCCTATTAAGAGTGAAGTGATATGTTGTATCATGGACATGCCAAGTTCAAGTTGCCTATGGGACTTGGTGAGTAAGAGGTATGCAGCCTTTGACAAGTCATTCAACCTTTCTGGACCTTAGTCTTCTCATTTGAAAAATAAGGATAAAAATATTACTACTGGGCCAGCAGGTAGTTAAGGCACCTGACTCCCATGTGGTTGACCGTGGTTTGAGTCTCAGATCCAGTGGCTTGAAACTCACACAAGATGTTTGTGCGTGCATACCCAAAATCCTAAGAGGAAAATGGAGAAGGGATTGCAGTGTGGTCATCCCTTGGGGAGGGGGATTATTTCTTGCTTTCTGTGTCTCTGGCAAGCACATATACCCTATAGCAAAAATCTCTCTATAAAAAAATTACTACATTTGTGTTGCTGTGAATATTAAATGTGCTAAAACTTGTAATGTGCTGAGAATAGTGCCTGGCAAGAGTGAGTGCTCAATAAACACTTGCAGTTAAGCCTTTTACATGGTCTGGAGCTCAGAAGAGAGCTAAAGACAGATTCAGCAGTCACAGCTTTGTAGACGAGGCTGGGTGGTAGAATAGTGAAAGGAGGGTAAGGGAGCAGGGTACAAGGTAGATGGTCAGCAGGCACTGGAAACATACAGGGGAGCAGACGCACACATAGCTGTACCATCACAGAATGCCACACAACTCTCTCCTGTAGAGACCTCCCTCACCTCACCTTTTTTTTTGAGAAGTTTTTGCTATAGGGCGTGTGCGCTCGCCAGACAGAGAGACAGAAAGCGAGAAATCACCCCCCCAGGGAGGATGGCCATGCTGCAATCTCTTCTCCTCCATTCTCCTCTCGGAATCTTGGGCACGCACGCACATGTGCCCGGAGTGAGTTTTAAGCCACTGGGTCCGGGACTCGAACCGTGGTTGACTACGTGGAAGTCCAGTGACAACCATTATGCTAATTACTGGTCCCACCCTCACCTCACTTTTAGCCTCACTTTTCCCCTGAGCATGGCCTCAGTTCACCCACTTCTAACTTCTCTGACCTCATCTAAATGGCTGAGGGAGTGAGCCAGAATGCCATATGACTGAGAATTCAGGCACAACACACCCTACGACAACATGGAGAAAATCTGGAGATGTAAAATGCAATACAGGAGTTGGCTCTATGACCTGGTGGAAAGGCAGCCAGATTTCCACAAGATGGATCCTGTGGCATGAGTCCCAGAACCTGGTGGCTTGAGAAACACACTGAGTGTGTGTGCATGTGTGTGCCCCGAGTCCTGAAAGGAGGGAGAGATGGAGAAAAAAAGATTGGAAAATGACCATGTTCCATGGGGTGGGGAGAGATTATTTCTCTTCTCTCTTTCTCTCTGTTTTTCTGGCAAGTGCTTGTTCGTGCCTTCTGGCAAAAAATAAAAACAAACTAATATTATAAAAAGCGTGACACCAGTTTTACAGCTGCAAAATAAGCAAGAAGTAATATATTCTTTGGGCATACCTATCTTTATAATAAAACTATTTTCCAGGGATCGGCAGATGGTGTAATGGTTACATCTCTGGACTCCCATGTAGTTGACCGCAGTTTGAGTCCTGGGCTCAGCAGC